CTCACCACATCTTCACAATAGGTCATCACAACCCAATGTTTATCCACATCCGTCCGACCAAACAAAAAAAATGGCTCATCCCCCTGACCCAACCGAACAAAAAAGGGACATCGTCATCCACGTAGACTTGGATATCCCCAACTCAACCTGGGAATGGGGCGGCTCGTTTGGGTATTTCCGTGCGGGATGCTGATTGGTTTCACTCTGGTTGGGCTATGATGGACAGAAAACGCTAAATGGATGGGGCGGTGCGGGTGTAGCACAAAAGTGGTCTGGATTGGGGTGGTGCGGGCAGGGTCCGAATGATGTGTCGACTACTGCATTTGCAAAGATTGATCCAGCTACAAATTCTAATATTTTAATGGTGGGTACAATTGCACTTAAAATACCATCACCAGAAGCAAAACCAGATGAAGTCAGACCAACGTTCAGAACTCCGTGTGTTGCATAGAAAGTTCCGTACTGAATATTTTTTGTATGGGCTCCATCTAGCACTAGTACGTAGTCCAAGTTTTTTTTAGGTGATCGGTTGGCCGAATAGTTAATTAGGTGAGATTAATTAGTTGAGATAAAAGAGAGTCCTACTAGTACTTGGGTTTCAGGTTTGACTAGGAAAAGAGATATGGTTTGTTACGTGGAGTACGGAAGGTTAGAGTCGGTTTAGGAACTAGAGCCTGCGTGCTCCTTAAATACTGGCCGATCTGGCCGTGTAAAGGGTCAAGTTTTGTTTTGTCGTGAGTTGAATAATAGTCAGAAAACATCTCATGTCTGGGGATACCAAATATCGTGTTTGCTTTTGCTGATCCGTGACGGATTTTGTCGCTGCTACGCGTGGAGTTGATTCCGTCTGCTCGACGCCAGTTTTTGATATTACGGTCTTGTATCTTTGCTCGACCGGAATTTCTTGTTGTTGCTGCTAGTACCGTGAAAGATCGGGCCGACGAATGACTCGCATCTAGTCGGGTCTTTATCACCGAATGGAGAGGCCATGGGTTTGACCCACATGAGTACAGCCGCTCCAGGCCAATAGCCACCAGCCGCAGACTCTCTACTTCTATGGGGTTTCCATGGCTGCCGCTATGCACCGCCGCCGCTGCCATCATAACGTGATGCCGCCAGCATCGTCCTCCATGCACCCCGCCGGCACCGCTTCAAGTTCTCACTCTCCGCCATTGATTCGAGCGGCGTGACATGCCAAGCCATCACATGAGAAACGGCCGAATCAAGAGCTGGCAATCCATGCGAACACCACACCGGTTTCTTGACATTTGCAACCACGGCCACACCAAGAGGTGGATGGAGCTGAGAAACTTCAGTTCCATACGGCACGACCATACCAAGACGTCGTGCAGATTGGATAGCTTCAACCACGGGCTTGTATGGTTTGAGGAATCAGGTTCAACCGAAAAGTTTGGAACAGTTTGGTGTGGGTTGAATGGAAGTTTCCCATGGTCTGATGTGGGTTGGATTCTGCAAATTGTTCTGCAGACTGGTTTGACTTGGATCTTTGACTTTGTGTGAGTGCATTGGCTTGGATTCGGTGTGGGTTTCAAACAATTCCCAGGCTGATCCCCAACCCATCCCTCTTTGACCTCAAACAAAACACACCCTTAAATCAAAGGTTCCAACCTATAAATGCTACAGACAATAAGTTAAAGCTAAATATGTTTATGCAGAGTCCTGACTGAATCACTAAAGAACAAATGAACATACCAGAGAAGTTGTTGCTTCACAAGTCAAACATTCAGACAAGTCCTTAAGAACTGAGTTTATAGCTTGTTGTGGTTCGTTTTCACATCCAACAGTTTCCATCAGTTCAGAACCATCTTTACCTCCACTGCAAAGCATCTTCAGCATCACAGGGCCTAACAGCAAGGCAGAAACAGGTATTAGTTTGCAGTTACTGGGCACAGGGAAATCAAAATAACAGCAACAAAAAATGTTTGTGTGTCCCAGTACATCTAGTATACCAAGAGGAACGAACGTGGCCAAAATAGCATTTCTTTTTGGAGCACGTGTTTTTTTAACAGAGTGAGCAGTTAGCAGAAAATATCTGTAACTTGGAGAATTGTATAGAATCCTTGCGAACACCATATTTACGTTTAAAGGTCCGTGCATTGTCATACATAGGCAATTATTTTTAATATGCAAAATGAACCCACAGTTTTAGGCTTTTAACACCACGACAGCATAAGTCCACAACAGAATACCTCCAGAAGACCACGATATGACTCGACGCAAGTTTCTCCATGACCAAAAGTTATACATGACAGTAGACCATCGATAAATACAATTTACATTAAAACTTGAGCACTGCATCAGTTTTTTTCAAATAAAATGGAAGAACTATATGATGCTAAGTTGCAATAGAGATACAGCAACCAACTTAATTTATGAGAGATGTCACACGCAATTATGTACACGATGTGTGTTTGGAATAAGCCAGTTAGGCAGCAGAAAGTTCAGGAAATTGACGAGGGTCCAAAACACTTCTATCATGCATTTAATACAAGTTTGTGATTGTCCAAGCATTTATGTAATTATTTCCCCCTAAAATAGCTAGCAAATTCAAGGGATATGGTGTCAGGCAACTAACTATTCTGCAGAAGGCACAGTGGAGCATTCAACTGACAAGAATAGTGCTCCATATGCAACATATTATGTTCTTAAATATGGAAGATAGAATATCTAAGCACAAGAACTTACAGTTCAAAAGCAAGAAAAGTAGATGCACCGAATGCTTCTTTACGAGCAATGCATTCTCTTTCTGCAGCAACTGATGCAAGCTTTCCATTACAGAAATAAATCCAAATCTGAAAGTAGCAGCATAGTATATTAGGCGTCAGCATTGGTAATTTCAACCAATTTAAGAAAAATAAAGATTCTTCACATGTTTGCTTACTTTTCACGCTCCCCTTTGGAATCACTGGTCCTTACAATGAGAATCATTATGGATAATGCATCAACACGAATACCCTCTTCCGAATATTTTAGCGCAATTTGTAGCACTCCAGTGAAGAATGGAGTCCAGAATGTACAAGGAAGAAACATATTTCCAATGTGAAGTCCATCTTCCTCTTGGTCAGGCGTATTCAGCAAAGCAGAACTGTGTTCTTGATTGTTCCTCTCCATTTCGATGTTATTGTCAACATACGTCTCAATAGAAACATTGTTCCTGAGGTTACACTGAGGAAAATCGTATTAAAGTTCATAAGCATTACAGCCTACCATTATAAAGAAGTGAAATAAAGTAATCATACAATCTGCAGTTGTTACTTTATTAGTGCCTATTTTCAAAAACTGCACTTGGTAGAATCTATAAATAGGAAAATATCCAGGGAAACAACCCTTTTGCTGAAAACTCTGCAGAAACCATGTGTACAAGTTTTAGAAGGAAAAAAAACTAAGAAGTTCCATATGTAGATGAGTTTTTTTTTGACACTTTAGGTGAGGTGAAGTCATATAAACCTGAAACTTTTCAAGTTCAAACTGATTTGCATTTGAAAGCTAGAAAAAATAAGTCAGCATTGAGTAGTGTTCATTTTACATTTGAAAGCTAGTTCCCAAATGCGCTGGAGAACAACGTATCTTGGTCCTGGATGACACCTTCTCCATTTCGTTGATATTGATAACAAAGTATCTTGACCTCGTTTCTTTTTCTTGTCATTTGACTTCATGGAATGGAGTTCTTCTCATGATAGTCACACAAGAGAAAGGAACAAATGAAGCAAATGATTGACCTATCATATATCATCCAAAGAAAACCTTCAAACTAGTAGGTTCGGGCTGAAGCAGTGGAAGAAGAGCAGGAAGTGTACTCCTCCTGGGACTTGGACTCGCATAACTACTAGCAATCATACCTATTATCGACGGAGTATTAACCTTAGCAGCGCAAAACCGGTGTTGGACGGTGGACTACCTCGTGAAACGAGGGCTGGATCATCCTGAGACACGCCTCCTTTGCGACCAGGAAGGACAAACAATTTTGCACCTGCTGTCAGAATGCACCTTCACCCAGCAGGTCTGGCATTTAGCTTTGGCCAGACATGGACTTCATGGCATGACCCTTCACCCGGTGCGGTGATTGGTTTTTTGAGTGGTTCTGAGTGCGGCAGAGTGCGCTGGTCATGACAAGCTGAAGGCACTTGGCCACTCAACGTCTTCATGATTTGAAGGCTCTGGAGAATGCACAATTCCTGCATGCTCGACAAAGTATTGTCATGCTACCAGGAGCAGGTAGACTCCATTTGGGTGGAAGGAGGGCCATGGAAATTGGCAGGCGCAGAGATACTGAGAAGGGTACCCCTGCTCACGATACCCCCTGGTGTCTCTTAGGTCTGGGCCATAGCTGTAGCTCTAGCTGTAGTTCTGTTCCTTAGGATATATTTTTCTTTGCTTTTGCTGTTTTCTTTAGGTAGGCCTACGTGTTTTCGTTTCTGGTTGGGTTCTCTTTTGGTGTTCAGCTGTCATTTGTGTCATTTTGATGCCTTCTTTCTATAGTTGTTAATGTGTTACTATGGCTACTGGTTAACATTATCTAGGTTGAACATTTGACAACCCAAAAGGCATCCTTGCCCCTCACACAAAAGCAAAGAAAAGGCCACTGGATCATTAGAGAAAGATAACATTGATACTGAATATGGTAAAAATGGCTGTTCTGCAGTTCCCTTGTCTTAATTACTATTTTCTTTTAACATTTGTTTAGTCTTCCAAATATACAGACAAATTGCTAACCACATAACAGCCATCCTGGGAATCCTGGCAACAAGAAATGTATTCAATGAAGTAAGGCATACCTTTGGTTAGACCTGGTTCCATGAGTGAGCAAGTTCTGCAAGATGCTATGCAATATCCGCAGCACTCTACCAACAACAACAGCCTGAAAAGAAAGGGAACAGGTAAATACATGGATAAACCAGCTGGCCAGTTGAAGTCCAAAAGTCGTAACTAAAAAAATGATTGCTTCACTTCGACATACATAGCAAAAGCTAAGAGGGTCTAATGACTATGCACTACAGAAGAGAAAACAATCATGATGTGTCATAGTTACCATTCTTCAAATCAGTAGAAACTGTATATCCAATCGAACAGACTCTACCTACAGATGCGTAGTTGCATAAGCAATCTATATAGCTATTAACACTAGCATTTTCCAGAGCCTACATAATGTCAACTGGTCAGCCTTTTATTCTTCAACTAAGCAACAAGCAAGCGAAGAGGAATAGAGGTGCTCAGAACTTATGTTCTTGGCTGGCTAGGATTTTTACACCCAAAACATGGCTGAAAATTGGTCAAAGGTAACCCTGTGTTCATTGGTAATTACAGAAAATCAATCATTTTCCTCCCCCAAAGGAATTACAAACAACACAGAGAACACCATTTTGCAATCATTCAAGTCGAATTAATCAACTATGTTAAAAATCATCAATAACCTAATTAGTACTCCCTCCGTCCCAAAGTAATTGTCATTGATTTAGTACAAAGTTGTATCAACTTTGTACTAAATCAGCGACACTTTGGGACGGAGGAGGTATTAGCTTATATGGAGTGCTTAGAGCTATTTCTTTTCCGATGCCAGTGAAGAAGCACAACAGATAGTCACACAAACAACAATGAAATGACTAAGTAAGCAAGCGTTGCTATGGAGATAAAGCAGGATAGTTGGTTCTCACATTACCGACAACACACAGATTTAGCAATGCTTCAAGAAGCGTCTGTATAGGTATGGTGTCACTATTCATCTGCAGAAACAAAATAAACCAGTTGGACATATGAGATGTTATTTAAAAAAAAATACTCCCTTCGTTACAGAATGTACCACGTAGTTGTCTTGGCTCTAAGTACTATATTCAGTGCATGCATGGAGGAATAAAACATAAAGCTGGATATTTGCTAGGTATATGGGGTATTGGGGGACAACACACTTATTTTGCATTGGGCTGTGAACAAAAACAATACAAAACTACCTTTTTTCAGAGGAACTAACTGGATTAGAAGGCAATATAGAAAGACAAGCTAACAGTAGCATTCTAGCTGTGAGAAGAAATAGCAACCTGTATTCCTATGAGGTCATAGGACGGTACATATGCACGTACAGGTGTGGTGGAAATCCCTTATACAACGAAGATGCTACACAACTAACGTAAAACAATTATACATGTGTCTAACACTAGCTACAGCATAAACAGAAAATGGGTGAGTGCGGTGTTCCCAATATAAATGGTGCATTATTCTGGTGGAAACAAATCGTGTATCACTCTGTCCTATCGCAAGGCAAATAAATTGTAAGCATTGTATAACAGATTTTAGCATTGAAAATAAAGTTGAAAAGCAAAGTAGATTTCCAATCTTGAATGCATACTTAGTGCGAGCTGCAACAGAGAAAAAGGAATTGAAAGTTTTGTTTTTACATGACCATCACCTTGACAATAGTATCATATACTTCCGAAATAGCATTATTCATGGAGGAGCTCGCTTCAGTAGAGGTTTCACACTTGTCTGGCAATCTCGCAGATTGGAAAAGTGTCAACATTTCTTCTGAGCAAGAAGCAAGGATCTTCGAGATCAAACTCCTCCCTAACATACTGTTAGCTGGCCTGCCCCAGATTGCACATAGGTTGCTAGAGATGTTATTCATTAATACTTTCTTGCGCTCAAGATGTCCACTGCTCAGTGGAAGATCTGTTTGGACTCCTTTAGTCTTAATGTCCTTAGATTTGTTCCTTTCTAATTCAGCGTGGGCGCTTTCCTACCATTGACAGCAGAACTGATCATTAATGAAATTTGTTTCGACAATATAATAAAGAACAATACAAATAAGCTAGGCATAGTACCTCCAAAGATACTCTCTTCGTGGATGTCCAACAAGAACCTCTGGCATGCAAAGCCTCATTTGCAGGGGTATGGCAAGGCTGATCAATATCCATCTCCTTGCTAGAAATATCTCTGCTACACCAAAAAAATAAAATCTAATGTTAATAGCATCAAGCATGCACCCAAATGCAGTATGGATGTCATGTGAACCAAGTACAGTTTCAAAAAAGCATTCACTACCATCGAAGCTGGTTCAAGGCCAGTTAGTTATATTTACAGAATGTCATGTGAACCAAGTACAGTTTCAAAAAGCATTCCCTACCATCGAAGCTGGTTCAAGGCCAGTTAGTTATATTTACAGAAGTTCACACAGAAAACATGTGTTACATCAGTTGAAGAGAATAGTACTTACACATTTGCCTTCTTAAGATTATGAATCTCTGCTTCTTTGGCCTCGATTTCAAGGTCTTTCTCTTTCATGCCTTTCTTCAGCTCAACGTGCTCGTTTTTCTGCATGATTGATTTGCAAGTAAATATGCGAGTCAAATTCAACACTAGCCTAGCTGCCATGAACTTGCAGCAGTCCACATCCCAGGGTAGGATCAAACAGGATCAAAACGCACCAAGCTCGAATCAGTTACAACACAGCATGGGCATTGATGAATGGTAAAACTAGTACTGCTACTATATGAACCAATAACAATAAGCTGGCAGTGAGATGCGCACCAAGTCATTCATCTGCTTCAAGGTACGCTCCAGCTCCCTCTGCAACATCCAGTGGGATCACAAGCATTGTCAGATCACAAAAAGGCACCGCAGTGATGAAAGCACTATGTATGGCTGTCTCACCTTGAGCTCCTCGGCCGACTTGCTCTCTTTCTCCTTGGCCGCCCTAGGGAGCCTCCCCCTGGGCGGCACGGCCTTGACGCGTTCACCATGGGCCTGGGTCGGCGCCCTGGCATCCCTCTCCCTTGGCGCGCCCCTGGGCCGGTCGGGTCCCGCCGCCCCTGTGATCTGGCAGTCGCTGTCCTCGGCCGCCGCCGACGAGGAGGGGCGCTGGGAGAACTCCCGCGGAGGAGAGAAGCCGCCGCCGCAGCCGCTGTCCGGGACGCGCTGGGAGAGCTCCCTGGGAGGCGAGAAGTGGACGGGCGCGCGGGGCGCGGAGGCGGGGACGTGGGAGGGGTGCGCGAAGGGGGAGGCGGCGGCGGCAGGCTGGTAGAAGGGAGAAGCGGGTGCGGCGAATGCATTTGGCGCGGCGGGGACGCGGGGGAGCGGAGCGGCAGATGCGGCGGAGGACGAAGGAGGGTACGAGGCGGCGGGGACGCGGGGGAGGGGAGCGGCAAACGCGGCGGAGGAGGGAGGAGGGCACGAGGCGGCGGAGGGCGGCGCGTGGTGCTGGGTGGCGGTGGCCGGGTCGGGAGCGGGGATGGCGGTGCTAGGGTTGCGGGAGGCGGAGTTCTCCTCGGCCTCGCGGCAGATGTTGTCGAGGGACTGCTGGTTCGCCTCCCACCAACCGTCGTCGAAGATGTCGCCGCCGCCGTCGCCGTCCATCCCCGCGGGCGCCTCGACTCCCCTCGCGGCGGCGGAAGGAAGCGGTAGGCGAGGGGGGTGGGGGCTGGACACTGGGGTTTGGGAGGCAGATGACGCGCCCTCCTGGGGTTTTCGGTCGTGGTATATGTCACTCTGTGCATTTTAAAACCAAACCGGAAAACCATACCAAAAATAAACCGAACCGAACCGATTTTATGGTTTTTATGGTTTCTGATTTCGGTATGGTATGAACTTTCCATACCGATTTGAACTTTGGTTTTTATGGTATATACCAAAAAACCGAACGGTTAACCGAATAAACCGAAATAAAAATAAATTTATATTTCTTGAGATGAACAACCGTACAAGTTGTCATTTTTCTTGTACATGAGTCAAATTCACTGCTAAGCATATAAATTTTTCTTGTAACATAGTCATTTTTCTCTTTTTAAAATGCTAAGCACGTCCATAACCATCAACAGATGAATCAATGCATGCATATATACTTATATATATAGTCATATACTATTTGTGTAAAATAGTATGTGTTTTGAATCATAAATTTGCAAATTATTATTACGTCATTTTCAAATTCGCGTCAACTTTGGTTTTTATGATATATACCGAAACCATACCGAAATAATTTGGTATATACCGAAACCGAACCATATTTTATTTTCATACCGTATTTACGGAAGTATTAATACCGTACAAACCAAAAAACCGTATAAACCAAACCATGTAAACCGAATAAACCGAACGCACAGGGTGAGGTATATGTCTACGTCTCCCACACACAAAATGAGGGAAACACTCTCTCAACAGGCAAATTCGCCCAACGAATCCACGTAACCTTCTTTTCAAATCACGGTACAAACGCAGACGTTCACATACACTCACCCCTACAACGCACGCCGTATCCATATGAGCAGGAACATACACGAAGAGAAAAAAAGGGAGCAGAAATTTGCGCGATTTTTCACGGTGAGAAGTGCACCCATAATGATCTCTCTTTTCAAGCACAAGCACAGGAGTGAGTTCCGCGGTAGCAGCGACAGCATTGCCATTGTCAGGTCGATAAGAGACAGAAAAAAAGGAAGAATCATCTGATTGTGTGTGTGTGTGGCAGATCGGGGCCGCCAAGTTTGTTTGTTACAAGAATCATCAATCATCACGAGCTATGTAAGTAGAGTGGTAGAGGCCGCATGCGTCATCAGTCAGGGCTCCTTGTGGTGGCTGCCGCCGTTGGTGTCGCCCCGTTCGTTCATGTCGGGGACCGAGTCGCCACCGCCGGTCTCCCCTAGCTTGGCCTGCAGCAGGTGCCAGCACCACCGTTTAGTCAAGCTCCCTTCATCTTTTTTATCCGTTTGGGCAAAATTCATGTGGGAAAAGCATATGGAAAGAAAAGGCATATAACCAGGGAGGCAGGGACAATGTGAGGTTTATTTAGCTACCTTGAGAGAGGTGTTCTTCGAAAGGAGCTCCTCGTATTCCTTTTTGATCCGGTCGAGCTCGATCCTGAGGGACGAGTTCTCTGACTTCAAAGCCTCAGCCCGCTGCCCGAGCTCTTCACACTCGGCCTGGAAATACCATGTTTTTTTTATAAAAAAAAGCAACTGGCGATTCCATGTGTACAGCTAGTATGGCATCGGTTTTACATCATACCTGCTTGCGCAGCCGGGACCTTCGCGCGGATTCCCGGTTGGACAGCTTCCTCTTCTGCTTCTTCAGTTCCCTTTCATCCTGAATATTTATTGCCAAGAATACAATTGTTATTACCTGTCCTACATTGATACATGGAGAGAATGGCGGAATGCTATAAAAATTAACTCCAAAGGATGGTATCATTCACACATGGTAGGATCGGCTATAGCTTTCCTATCAACCTCAGTTCTGAACTGAATGGGGAAAAAAAGGTCCACCAGAAGGTTTTGTTCAGTGGACTGTAGATATGTTCTGGTATAACTGTCTTGTCAAGAACTACACTTGGGCACAATAATTAACACATCAAACTGGTTTCACATTGAACAACGAAAAGATATCTCCAAATACAGCCGAAGTTCAAAAATGAAACAAAATGCCATCAAAAGGTTTGGCTTGGTGGGTGGCAGTAACATAATGACTAAAAACTAAAGTATAAGTAGCACAGTTGCATAGCAACTTTGGTTCAGTGGACTCTAGCAGTGCAAATGTATGGTCAAGCACTACACAGCCAGAAATGATTACATACCAAACTAGAAGCCCTCCCTTCTCGGAGAAAAACATTCTGGTAACATAGCAGGACATGCCAGTCTTCAAAGGTAAGATCTTAGTCTAACGTTTGTGCAGAAAGTAAGGCGAGACAGAGCATGTGCCAAGGACTTTACCCATTGCTCTCCTCGAGCTGAACCAGACGGTGCTTTGCCGCGCATTGCAGGAACAGGTGAAGAGCCAGTTGCACCCCAGTAGTCCATCCCTATGTTCAAGTTTGTCGCAGGACCAGCAACTCCTCCTATCACTGCACCTGATTGTACTGGAACCAACGGCATGGGTTTATTAAATGTTCCATGCGATGATGAATGAGATACGCCATTCTGAGCACTGCCTGCATCACCGAATGTACCCTCCATCTTATGCAAAGAAATGTGCAAGTCCACTTTATCTATCATAAAACTATAAATAAGCCCTCAAATGCCTACCATTTTCATTTACATCATTCTCCTTTGAATGTGAATCCTGTTGCAACAAAATTAGTCCACAAGTCAAGAGAAAGTTGAAACTTAAACCAAATAAAAGATATGATGTGCAGAGTAATATCAAAATATCAAACTCACGTTTTGAGAATTGGCATCACTTCCTTCACTCTCACTATCACTTCCGCTTTCACTGCAGGTTGAAGGTACCCTATAATTAGTTGTTCTGGAACTAAAGAAACTTGTAATTACCACACATTGCTAACAAAACCTGTTGGACGTAACCCCATTGGCAGATGGACCAGATGTTTTGCCAGGCTCATTTTTCCCTGAAATTATGAACAGAGATCAAAACCTGATTCCCAAGCTTAAAATAACCTTAACACTGATCTTGGACAAGACTTACCATTTGTTTCTGCAGCACCTGGTGCAGCTCCCTGAGCTCCCTGAAAGACATGTCAAAATTTGCATGAACTAGTGACAATCAGAAGAAAAAGAAGAACCAAAGAGATTATTACTTACAGCAGGTTCAAGATTTCCATTTGTTTGCATAGGATAATGAAATGGATGCACACCCTGTACAAGTAATTATTGATTCGTACGAGCATGTCAGTAAAATTGGATGCATATGGTGTGCGAATAGGAAGATAGCTTTGTAGATTACACTTGTCAGGTACAAAAGTTCATACAGGAGTAGTCGGGTGGGCATATACTGTTCCTGGTGGATACATCATATAGGGGGGTGGTGGTGTCCCGTAAGGTGGCACCATGTGCTGCAATTAACAGGTCCATATTTTTAGGTTTACATACAAAAAGCACATGCCTACATATAAACATGATTTTACAGTTAATGCAAACCGCCACCTGCCTAACTTTCACCCCTTTCTTCCTCTTACAGAATTCTTTATCACTAAGTAAATAATATTGGGGAGATCTTTTTTAATAATATCGAGAAGAGAAACACATGTAATAAGAACTATAAATGGTCCATCAACAAAGCAGGAAAGATCCCATATTCAAGCTGAGGCAGACATCAACTGAGGTAGGATCAGATGATCAGTCCCTAATAATAGAGACCAAGATTTCAAACAGCACAAATTCATACTTTGCCGGTCTTGCTCTAAGCTGAACAGGGATTTATGAGGAAAAGGGACAAAGTTTCCTATAGAGGGCACCTGAGCTCCCCACATGTATGGATGAGCCTGGCCTGCAGCAACAGGAGGGGGGAAAAACCCATGTGGTGGCATCGCTGGGTAGCCCTGCCAAGATTTACAAGATAATAAAGTCAATGACAACACTAAATAACATAATTAATTCAGTAAAATAAAAGCACATCCATCTCATTGGTAAAAAAATCATAGAATAACCTGAAAGCCGGGCCATTCAGGGTAAACTGGAGCTGTAGTGCCAGAGGTAGTAGCTGGAGGTTGCTCCTGAGAATAGGAAAGTAAGAAACCAAAATGGGATTAGTAAAAAGAGAATGTTTATGACAACAGAAACAGGGAATTTGTATTTTGATCCAGCAAGGTATTTCCTTCCGTCAGCATAAGGAAACTAGCGTAGGTAACTAGAACTGAAGTACCCAAAATATCTTTCGGTAATGCAGTCCATGCTGTTAAATGTTGGTTCAAAATAATGGCGATTAGACTGACAAGCTGTGGGATCGAGTTTTAACAAACACCTCTATTTTGTTAGAGCTCTATAAGTCAAAATTTTATCACGTAACTAGAATTTTTGGCGCTCCCGTACAGGCCATTAAACGCAAAACCCACCGCAAAATTCCTGCCAGAATGAACTTATCAAACTAAACAGTACCATTTGCAGCATCAATTCCATTTTATTCCCTTGGAAAACCCCAATTCTTTTATAACCCTAACCTTAGCTCCATTAATCATCTATCTCCTTGCCATGTGGGCCATGCCTGTCAGTTTTTGTGGTTAGTTCCATGAAAGAGAGAATTTGTGTGGTAAAGGTTGGGGTATTGCGTGACTGGTGCCCCAGATTGGGTTCCTTGGTAGTTACTAAAAAGGTAAGAGGTCTATCAGTGCCACTGCTGAACAGATCTATGCACTTCAATTACAAAAACAAGATTTGCAAGGCATCAACGTTCTTGAGCCAGCCAAACCATGATAATCTGAGTAGTAAAGAAATGTGCACTTCTTCTGCTATAATTTTTTAATATACAATACTTACACAAAGTGTCCTCTAATTTGGGTGTAAAACAAAGTTACTGTCGTCTTAATAATCATCATTCTAAGTACCATTAGGTGCTTGAGACACATCCAAACTATATACACAGAAACACGGGAAGGAGCACGAAAAAAAAAACAATCAATTTATCTTTTCGAG